GAAGAGTATACAGGAAGGAGGAGTCGTATGGGCTTCTCCCATATCCTCTCTTGAAGTTGCCAGGTATGACTGTTTGCCCCACCATTTTCCCCCAACGTTTCAACTTCCTCTGTTTAGCATAGAAAATTAAAAAGAAAAGTAATTTTCAAGTCGTTTAGAACCTGTGGTTTTTTAAAACATTTTTCTCATTTTGATATTCTTGTTCCAAGATTGTCCTCTGGCTGGAAATGCACGGCGTCTTTTCTAGATTTTTTCTGTTATTTAGTTCGGTTACCTGCTGTAACTGCATATAATTTGGGTGTCTTTTAGAAAACTTGAGATAATACCTGGATTTCATTTTTACATCACATAAATCAATCCAAACATCAAGCAAGTTTTCTCTTTCGTTTAAAAGTTGAGTTGATGTTGTTATTGGCCATATTAAATAGGTTGAAAATTTTTGGGTGGTATTTTCTCACGTTTTTAATAACTGAATTTTCTGGAAGGTGAAGTAGTTGCAACATGTTAAGATGAGACGCAACAATAAATTTTATTGACGTGTAAACAGTTTTCATTTGACTATCTATTGGCAAGTCTTTGTATCATATTGTAACCCAACAATTTTCCACAACTTTTAAACACCATTAAAAAATAAAAATTAGTCAGGGAAATGGAAAATTTGTGGCATATACACCACGTTTGAAATGCCATGTCCATAATAAGCTTACAGGATTGAGGAGGGTGTATGTGGGAATAGGCTCTCTCGTCTGTATCATCACTTTGCTAATCGCAATGTTTGCAATGTTTTGATAAGGTTGGGCTGTCAGGGCAAAGGAACTAAGAATTTTAGTAGGCAGTGACTTTGTTCAAACCCGGAAACTATCATTGTGAAAGCCATACTTGTGCCTGGTAACTCATTATTATAAACTAGTTTTAAGAAGGATACAATATTTTATTACATAAGTTTGATGCATAGGCTGTGCACAAAACTTTAATTGATTATACTTTTATAGCCAATACCAATCCCTACTCATGATAAAATGTTAGGAAGATTGGAGGAAAAATAATGTGCCATATATCTGCAAGTTTTCATACAATTGTTTTAATTACATGAATATTAATTGATACAAGGAGATCTGAGAATATTCAAAAGGAAAGGAAATTTGGTTGAAAAATTGGAATTCAGCATAGGCCAGATAAACAAAATTCTTAGAAAATGAAGTGTGTACTAATGTAAAAGCTAAGCAAACTTTCTTACAACACCTGCCTGTACCTGTATGGCACATAGTAAAGTCATTCTAAGTTGCCATCACCCCGGTTTTATTCATTGAAAACACATAGATATGCAGATTTCCTACAAACCTGTAGTTCAAGCTTAGTGATGACTTTGAAATTGCAATGCACACCTCAAAGGGACAACAAGTAAATTTCAAGTTTCTATTTATTCAGTTTAGGTTAGTGAGGTAAAATTGAGTCACACATTCATACCACAACAGGTTCAAGAAATTTCCAGAACTAATTTATAAGGCTAGCCTACCTGGAACAATCACCTTCATATACAAATTAGACCAGATTTGTACTGATCATGCACAAAAGAACTATCTATGATAAGAGGGAAGGCTTTCCTTTCTTCATATAAAGAAATACTGAGGTTATCATCTTTCCACAAGCTCAGTGGAAAGTGGGAGTGAATGCTGGAGAGTGATAGTCACTATGTTATTTGAATAAATATCCAGAGGAGGATAAAAAGCTAGATATGGTTTGCACAACTCTCTTACTTCAATTTTTTAACCTATAAAGCTAAGGCATTTACATTCTTGCTTTATGCATTAATTGGACACTAATAAATTTAACTTTCATGTGTCAAAATACAAAAAATGTTCTCTTCATCAAAGTGCCCTAAACATTACAGGGGAGTAAGGAGGTCAGAGTAAAACTTGAATTAAAATAGGTGGGCCCCCATTAATTTCAGTCCTAATTAATGGAGGATCTTTGCTTTTCCAGAATCTCACTCTTTAAAACTCACATATCTTGTGACCAATTCCTGTTATCAATGTTTTGTTTGGGTATGAGCATTGACAAGAAACACCATGCATTAATGAAAGGTTGAGCAAGAGTATTAAATGCAATCTAAATAATAAATATTATGTTACAATGTGGTAGCTCACACAGCAAAATTATATAGTCACACAATTCCACACAAAGGAAGTCAGGTTATTGACTCACCTGCTTCAACTTTTGAGGGCTTAGAGTACAGAGAAATAGAGATGGTAAACAGTTACAATTAATGTAAAGGAGAAAGTTTGAAAGCTAAAAGATATACATTGCAATCATTAGACCCTATGCAACCTCACAAAAATGTGGTCCATTGCCACCATAACTTCTCCCAAACATCAGGATTCATTCTTACAGGAAATCATTAATTTTTGTCACTAGGTGGTACTGTACTTACAATAGTTCAACCAGCACAAATGCATTTTTCTAAAGTTACAGGTCATGTGGAAGGTTCCTGCATGGGGAATGACATTTTAATTACCTCAGCAAATTGTAACCATCAGAATTGCAAGCCAAGGTGTATTTACCAAGTGCTCAAGTTTCCAAATTAGACACGTAATCGTTACGGTGGAGTTCACTTCTTTTTGAGGCTGTCTTCAGCTTGATTGTCCTGTTACATGTGAAAACATCAGATGTTACTCACATATTTAAGTAATTACCTGAATCAATTTTTTTTTATAACCTGCTTCGTTTGATTGTGCTCCAGAAATAGTAAATGATATTGAAGAGGAAAGGAAAAAGTTCTTGAAACCTGCTATGTGAAATGAAACTTTGTTATGAAAGTTAATTGGGACAGCGGCAAAAACATCTGTGAAGCTATAATAAGAATTACCTTTCCACGTAAAACAAACTCCAATGAAGCATGATATGAATAAATTTAATCTCACCCAGTTTGAATGTAGAATCCAAAATCTAATTAACTTACTGGTGAATAGGAAAAAGCTCAATGTGTTTTTCCTGCCCCTGTCATTCTAAATATCACAAATCAATAATGCCACCACTTCAGCGTGATCTTTTTGATAATGTGTACTTTTCCTTATGGACATCTATTTTTAGTATCTATCTTTACCAGCTGACATCTGAGAAGAATCAAGTCCACACTCTCTGGTAATTTGACACATTGCAGGCAAACCCTAAAACTGATGAAATTTTCTTTGATCAGAAAAATGAGGAGCAATAGAGGAAATTAACTAGCACAATTTAAGTTTCCCTTCTGATGAATTCTGTGATGTTTTTCTCTCATATGGTTAAGTTCACAGTTTCTCTCATTTCACTGTCTTCTGTTCATTTGTTTGTTTGCTTTCCTGACAATCTGAACTACTGTTGCCAACAAATGCAAAGAGCATATAAAATGTGTACAGTTATTAACCCTTTAATCCCTGAGAGTGACTAGCATCTAATTCCTCCTTTCAACATCACCCCTGAATCAAACATAAAGGTTACGAGAATAATGGAAATGATAATCAACTGAAGAACCTCTTGATTGTTAAACAAATTCTCCTTGCCAACAAATAAGGTAATACGTAGAGAACAGTAAGGAGAATATGCATACTGATGTTTGGGTGTAAATGGTTAAAGACATCATGTAATCAGTTTAATATAAGTAGAGTATTGCTTGAATATATGATTGCAGTAAGTGCAAGTGCCTAGTAAACATCATTCTATAGTCTTCTACTCTCCCACCTTGGAGGGTGTCTCGTGTACATAAAAATTTATGTACACAATTTTTAGCACAAAAAGTTACTAAGATCAACAAAGAAAAACAGCCACACCAAAAAGTTTCATTTAAATCATAGCATCAGTTTCTCATCACATTTTTAGTTACATTTGAAAGCATAAAAATATTTTAATCTTTACAACATAATGAAATCCCCATTTTAAGACATATATGTACCAGAAAGACAGCAATTAAATATATATACCATTATGCTTCTGCAAAGTGTTCTAATGTAGAAAGAAGTTTCAAACTTATTGAAATTAAGTTGACTTCATGATCCAGATTTTTGTTAAAGAAATGTGCAATAACTCTTTACAAGGATGAAAAGGAAATGCCATTTACGAATTTTAAAATAGTAAATGCCACAAACTTATGGATGGAATTTAAAAAACTACTAAAATATGGCATACCTATTCACTGACATTTCATTCATTGGCTGGCACACAGAGATATGAAAGAGGCTTTGTGGAAAAAAACCAGGGTTATAAAATTAAAGATTCAGCAGAAGCATATGACATTAACAAGTTTACTGATGTTCTCATCTGAATTCAATCTGGAAAGAGAACTCTACAACACTTCTGTTTTACCTTCTCACACTTAAATTAAAACATGAAATTTAATTAGTTGCAGGCAGGTTAAGGAGAAAATTAAAGGATAGATAAATGTTACATTAAAAGAAACCCCCTACAATAAAATAAAGAAGAAGCATATTACCTTCATGACTATCCTTCTTAATACTGCTACAATAGGTATTTTTTTAAGCAATTATCTACATAATTATGTAAGCCAGGTGTAATATGCGGTCTTAAAACCAATTTTACTCTACCCTTCCTCCTTACAGGGTGCCTTGTGTATCAAATATATAAAGTTCAGTACCTCCAGAGTCATAAGCCGGGCTTGTGGGGCTACAAAATAATAAAATAATCAACGAGTTATGAACGATTTATCGAGAGTCAATTAAGTTTAGTTTCCTAAAATCGTATATATACATCTGCGTAACATGTGACTAATATCATGATATTTGTTAGTTAGGATCCTCAGTCTTCTTTTTAATACCAAGTCGGCAACAGTCACCCTTTTTGTTGTTTGATTTGTTACTTTGTCCATTTAACACACATCATGAAGTTTGTAGTTTTCATAATTTCATGCTTCATCGCTGGGCTCCCATCTCAATAATCAGAAACAATTCATGCACTGCATTGTTCTCCCTTGCCGGTTAATCACAGTGTTCTGATTATTGTGTTTACAGGTTACGATGGCAGGCCCCTACAGTCACTTTGATCGCCCCTTGTGAAAAGCCCGGCCTTGCAGAAGGACTACATGGGTATACAAATTATTGATGCAAATTGGCCAACTTGAACATTCTTCGGCCTGATTTATCCTATGTGAACTTCAAAAGCTTAGATTTAATTTCAGAGGTTCTATAATATTAGTTTTCCAATGTATCGCATGAAAAGAAAAACAACTCAAATGACAAAGGAAAAACAAAAAAAGACATCACACCGTGAAAAGTCATCTTATCTATACAAAAGTGTACAAGTCTACGAGAAACAAAACACTCTCACTAATATAAACCTTTATTTAGGGTGCTCGAAACATGAACTCGATTACTCTTAATTTTAATGGACTAGCAAAAAAATTTTATTGCTACGTACCATCTGTATGTACAACTGAATAACAACTATAAACAATTGCAGTAAACTAGCAAGCTATTTAATGTATTCTTAATATATCAAATTTTTAAAACGTAATCGAGGTAATTTTTATACAATGAAAAAATAGCACATTCAATCACGGTTTCAATCACACCGTGCAATCCGAATGTTGCTTTAGGCTCTACGATACCATGATCTCAGCAATGCATGGAATAAGCAGCACTTACAGTAATATGCCTTTCGCCTACACGTCGACGCGCTCCTCGTCTCTCGCACGTGCAGTTCCATTTCTCGCTCATGCGACATTTTTCGTGCGTTGTGCCTCGTTTGTCGACATTGGTTTCCTACAGTGAAGATAAGATTTCATTTGATTGGCTTCTCCATTGTCACTTACGAAGAAAAAAAAAGGGATTATTGGGGGTTAACAGCAATCCTTCTTTCCGAGTCCAGTTATGAATCAAACAATAACAGTTGTTATCGGTTAAGAACAAGAACTTGGATGTTTCACGTAACATCATATGTCGTACAAAATCAGATTTGATCAGCTCTCTATGCAACGTCATAGCGATTTCCATTCCCTTTGCGGAACTTAGATCTGAGCTAATGAACGAATGGAATAGTTTACCTTATCATATTAGACAATCAGATAGTATTGCAGCCATTAAAAGAAATTTTTTAAATTCTATTAAGGATAATAAGAACTTTTATTTTAATATTTGTGTATACTTTTCTTACACCTCAATTAGTAGGACATCCCTAGCATGGTGCGTCAGCGCTTTTGGTTTTCTCCATCTCCACAACGTTTCTTTATCGCAGTGATCAATTTAATTTATTGTCTACCTTTAATCTAGTAAGTGTAATCTGTAATAATAATAAATTAAAGAGATCACATGAGCAAAACAATAGTGAAACACGTGTTTTTGAAAACTTTGTAAATTTCCTAGCCGTCCTATAGAGAACTATAACGTTCAACACCGACTTTTACGTCTTCTTAGCACTGAAACCTCGACAGCAAGTTAGTCTCGTTTTAACTTTGAACTCAACAAAACAGCAACGTTTTACCACACGTCGCCGTAAAGAAATCTTAACTCCCTCAGTTCAAGCGCTACAACATCCTCGAGAAACTTCACCCCAGGATCCAAAACCGGGGTTTTGGTGTAATCACATACAACTACTGCTGTGTGATCACATTGTGATAGTTATTACGCATTCAATTTATCTTCCCTTCATTGTTACCATTCTAACAAACTGGCATTCTTAAAGTTTTACCGATTAAATATTGGAAATAAGAAAGAAATTACAGTGAACTAAAGAGATGAATATTGTCTTAAGTGCCGCTCCCGCTAAGAGCGGTCCTCTCGACTTCCCGTTGGAAAAAAAGTTTTCTTTTATTTTTTGCCCATGAAAAGGGTTTAGCACACATGTTTCAAAAATAGTTTAGTTGTTCTCCAATTCCTTTTTTTTGCGTCGCCACAAGCCAAAAATCATTTTTGGCCAGACCACCTCTGTGAACAGCGATCGAAAGTGTCAATAACAAAGATTTTGTCTAGCGCGCAGCGACTGCAACAATTTAGCTCACGGAATTCTTTCTTACTACAAGTTACAAGGTGTATTCAGTTAGTTCACAGACAAAATATGGAAACTTCAGCTGAAATATTTTTCATACCAGCGTGATCAGAGGAGACCCTGCTCTTCGACCTTAATTTGCATATCAAAAATTCACTACTTTGTACGAAAGAATTCTCAAAATGCAGGCGTTAATCGGGCCGAAAAAGCATATCAGTGCATAGTTTATACACCAATGAGGTCACGGATTGCCTCAAACCCGCGGGTATATCTCTAGCTTCCATTCACCAACTTCTTAAAAACAACGCAAATCCATGTGTTTGCTCAATTGCGCTCGTGTCAAAGATCATTTGCATGATTCTTGGAATTGACCAAGATCTCCTTTTGACAGTTCAAACTTCGTTCGTTTATCTTCTACGTTGAGAACTTTAGGTTTGAGAATTTTAACTTTTAAAAAGGTTTACTTGATCCATGGAAAGCAAAGATTGGAGTGGCTTTGGATATTTAAGCCCTGATTTTCCTCCTGGGACGACGTATCGAGTTATTTGAAGTACTACCAGCTATCCAGCGAAATCCTCGATTACAAGTTAATTTTGTTTCGTTCCGGTCAGTTTGACCACGATATGGAAAAAGATATAACAGTTATTGGTATGTTCTAAACATCTGAACACTTTAAGAAACATTAGAAATGCGGTGGAGGTACTTGTTAACAGCCACAGCATAAGGGAAAATGTGAGGCAGTAAAAGAAAGCCAGACTGACTGGAGATGTTTTTGAAGTTTTCGGAATTTAAGTTGTATTCGTATCACATGAGTAATATATTTGCAATTTCTCGAGAGTGAAGGCTATTATTTAACTAAAAATTGGTTCGTAAGTGCCTATCTGGGCTATCTGCAATAGCAGACAAAACCAGAAATCAAAAGACAAATTGTGTCATGACGAATTTTTGTCTCGATTTTTGCGTCCGCTTAAAACTTCAAAACTGTCAAATTTCGTGAGAGCTTGATCTGCTCATGAGACCAGCTGGCATAGTTTACCGCTTTTAGCGAGAGTGGCGCTTTTAGCGAGAGTGGCGCTTAAAAAAGTGCCTGTAAGGGGAACAAAAAATGGCCGATTGTAATTTGGCAAGGCGGATCTTTACTCAACTATCGTACCAAATCAGTGGGTGCTTTGATAGTCCTGCTGCAGTGTGTCTTTTGGCCAAAGGTACTCTTGATGATTGCCGAAAATTGAGAGTAAAGGCTAACGCAGTTTGACGAAGCTGTATCTTGCGTGACAACTACTGAATACCCACATGGTTCCGATTGTATAATCACTCATAATTTATGCGTCGTACTTTTTCGGCATCGTACTCGATTCCGCATTTTACGGGTGTAGGCATGCTTGTTCACTATTAGACGTCAACAAAAAAAGGTAGTTCATGGGGAAATAGTTTTTTTTACTTGAGTTTTCCTAGACTTGATAAAGTATTCGTTTGCAGGCCGAGCAGACCTATTTGGGATGAATTTCCTCAGAGTCCTGTCGATGTTGTTTTAAATTAAAGCGAAAGCCCATTTTTGAATAAGCTTTTTTCAGAACGTCTTACTCGACAGTCCTTTATCATCTTAAACAGCTGGGTCTAATGGTTGGATACTTTCAATTACAAACCGTTGAATGTAGAACGAAGATTACGGGTGAGATTTGATGAACCTGTAGTAGCTCATAGCTGTAGAGCGGAGCTATTCCATCAAGTGCTTTATAGGTTATATAGAGAGAATATTAGACTCAATCTTTTTGGTGACAGAAGCCAACGCAGATTACACAAAACTGGAGTAATGTGCTGCAATATTTTAATTTTTGTCGTAATTCTAGCAGCCACTTCTCTAGGTGTCTTTGTTTTAGGGTGTTCTAATCGTAGAAAATAAACTAGTATGGAACGTTAAATATCAGGAAGTGTTTACCTTTTGGACCATTACTCCTTCGAAATGAATTAAAACCACGCGAAACTAAATGAATTCCCGAAGCTAAGAGAATTTCGTGGATCTTGGAATCGCCATTTTGGTGCGATGAAAATATCAAAGTTCGTGTCAAAAGAAAAAGACAACAAAGACAGTTCTTTATTGTTGAAAAGCAAGAGTTAAGTCGTGAGTTTTATATGCATTATTAACGCCTAAAAATTTTCTGAAAAAGGCCGAATGTAAACGTGTTGATTATAGTTAACAATCATTCGCCACTTTTACTGACACTATGACCAAATACATCCATCAGTGCATTACGCCACATTGCAATAAGTGTACAGAGGGAGGAAGAAAGTGCTGAATCCCACGCAATGGGGGAAGTTGTATCCTTATCACTCACCCGTGTCATCTGCAACCTTCCACATCACGTTCCTAACAGTAATGCTTAGTAATATCTGTGGTTTGAGCCCTCCTGCCACTGGTTGGGATCATCTTCCCCCAGCTTCAAACATAAGCATTGCAGATGACATCGCCAGAGTGAAGTATTACAGGAACACTGTGTACGGCCATGCTTCTCAAGCCTCTGTGGATGACAGTAGTTTCCTGACAGTAGTGATTACTTGCAGGAAATAGGAGAAGCTTTGGTGAAACTATGGGTGATCTCATTTCAGAACTTAAATCGGCAATCTTGAGCACGACTGCATGGAACCAGATATCGAGGAGCATCATCATAAACTGACGAAACAATGGAGGAAAGACGACGACAGCATCAAAGAATATGGATAGTACAAAAAAATTAGAAAAATGACATATTTTTAGTCTATGTAGCAGGGTGGGCTAGCTCAATCATCACAATATATTTATTTCGTCACAATTTATTACAATTGTCGTTCTAAAATTGCTTGTACTGTAATATTTGGGGTGGGGTATGGAAGCCACTGTGCATTGAATACCTGCCAACCAAGAATCAGCGAACTGTCGTTCGCAAGACATTGCATCAGTATTTTCCTTCAAAATTTCACCCACCCGTAATTACCTTAGAAACATTGTATTTGATGAGCCGTTTTCGTCTGCTCTCAGCTATCAAAGGATGACATCTCCATAACTTGTAAAATTTTTCCTAAATCATACAGGAAGATTCAAAGATTCATTGAGAGAGACACTTATTAGACTCTGACCGATTTGAATTTGTTTGACAATGGTGTTAGTCATTCCGGTGCTAAATTTTTAGCTGAGGCAATCAAAGTCAACAAGACTCTGACCAATTTAAATTTGTGTGTCAATCGTATTAATGATGTCGGTGAACATATACTGCTGACGCAATCAATGTCAACAAGACGCTAACCAATTTGTATTTGACTCGCAATCATATTATTGACGCCGGTGCTAGATCTAGATCTATTGCTGACGCAATCAAAGTCAACAAGACGCTAACCCATTTTGAAGTTACGAATATAGAATCGATTTTCGCAGTTATGAACGCTACTGAAGTAGTAATTGAAATAAGGCCTGAAAAAAAATTCAGGCCCGTACGGGATTTGAACCCATGACCTCTGCGATACCGGTGCAGCGCTCTACCAACTGAGCTAACAAGCCAACTTGGAGCTGGTGATTACACCTTTTGCTGTTCATTACGAGAAAATACGCATTCATTTGCGTTAAGGGGCGAACAATTGCGTGAAAATACAACCATTAGAGAGAAAAAAACCATTATTTGCACGTAAATCGGATTCATTAACGATTTTTGCATTTTAATCAGCATTCAAGAACAATTTTAGGCATTCTTGGGCGTCATTTGTCAAACAAAAGAGAAAAATATACTTTCATTTGCGCTAACGTTCAAGTTATTTACACCATCTTGAAAGTCAATAGCGACAATAAATAATCAATATAGTGCCTAAACCATTCATTAACATTTTTATCACATTGTTTGCAATTCAATAGCATCCCTGGACGACATTAGTATGAATAAGACAGTCATTAATGCACTTGTACAAACAATTCAGTGTTTTTTATACTCAATATGCAAGTAGTGATTTTCAACTGAACACCGATTTTGCCAGAACTTGCATTCAGTAAATTTTATCCCCTTCATGCGCTTTTTTAAGGTTTTCTGACCGAAGGCAAAATGCCGCGAAGAAACCGAATATCACTCGAACACAGAGAGAGAATCGTAAGAGGATTTGAGGACGAGGAGGAAGATTATCTTGAGGTCACGGACACGCTCGGAGTGAACCGATCAACGGCAAGAGGCATTGTGGCGCGCTACATCGGAAAGGGCAGGATCCAGGAAAGACCACGAGGAGGTTAGTGAATGTATTTGCACGCAATTGTTCGCCTTTTCACGCAAATGAATGCATATTTTCTCGTAATGAACAACAAAAGGT